CCCTCAGCTGCCGCCGGTAGCTATCCCCCCCCCCCCCCCCCCCCCCCAACACATACACACACCTCCAGCATCACAGGCAGCAGAAAACACTACAAAAACTGCATAATTAAAATAAAGAAAAGTTGCATCAACTCTGTAATTTCTGCAGCAAACTGGTTAAAATGGTTAAATCAAAGTAGCTGACTGAACTTTTTCTTTATCCTCGAGCCTAACTGCAGAATTATTAAAAGATTAGAACATTTTTGAATTGATCGACGTTAAAGTTCAGCCAAAAGAACAGTATTTCTATTGAAGCTGTTCTCCTCAGTTTGGTTAAACTGGTTTCTTCTCCAGCTCAATCATTTTGCTCCACAAATCTGCAGCGTGTGCGTCAAGTCCTCTTCTTTATTGTGCTCTAATTTACATTTTAATCAGCTGCTTCCACTACTAGCTGCTTTTAAAATATTTGAGGTATTTCCTGACACGGTGACGGTGAACACAAAGCCATCTCACGTGTGTTGTGATTACTGCTGAGTCAGCGGCTTTTCAGTCAGTAACCTTCAGAACCGCCTCTGAGGCCCGGAGGCAGCAGACGCAGGAAGCTCCGACTTGAAGGTTCGACTCATTAAGAAACACTTGGGTAATTTAGCAGCAGGCTAAAATGAGCTGAAGGTTAATGCAGCTGATTATTGAGCATGCATCAGGATGTTAATGCAGCTGATTTTCTGTTTGAAGCCCGATGGACCTCAGGAACTGTCAGAGATGTTCCGATTCAGCCTTGGAGCCTGGAAGTGACTGTCTGGCTTCGATCCAGCTGAAGGTGGTTGGTGTGACTGAGCAGAGGGCTGCTGCCTTTTTTATTTATTTAAGAAGAAATGATTCAGGATGGTCAAATATCACTTTGTACATTTACTCCACATAAAACTTTATTTTGTCTGAATAACAGAATAAACTCAGAGGAAAACAACGAAGTGCTGCATCTAGAGGCGTTGGCAAATGAAAAACGATTAAAATACATGCACTGATTAAATAAAGTTTTACATTTTGCCTATATTCATACTTGAATTATTATGGACTTCAATGCCCAAACCTTTTATCACACTTTTTAAAAATCCTGTAGGATTTCCCCTCATTTTTCCTTACGGCCCTTTCAACTTTAGATGTACTGAAAAAACATCAATCCTTGCAGCTGGATCAGGAGTACAGTAGTCCCTCGTTTATCGCGGGGGATCCGTACCCTGAAGCTCCGTGATAAGTGAAAAACTGCAAAGTAGGAGTAGTAGTACAAGTAGTAAGTAGTAGTTTATTTTAGTATTCATATTTAAGGTGTTTTCAACCTTTCCCACACTCTTGCAATATTCTAAACAATGTTTCTAAACTCTAAATGCTCTAAAAGAGCACAGAGTGTCATGATCTCAGCTCTCTGCCACCTGCAAGTGCTCTCGGCCACGCCCACTTCTCCGCTGCAGAGCAGACATGACAGACTGCAGGAGGAAGCTTCTCCCTGTAACTGTGGGCTTCACGCAGGTGCTAAATAATTTAAAATAATTTATTTTAAATTGAAAAAAAAAATCCATGCTGATCGTGCGGCTCATCCATCAATCAGCCAGTTGTGTTTCATGTCCAATCTTATTTTGAAAAGCCTTGGTAGAGCGAGTCTCCGAAAAACGAACCGCGAAATAGCGCGGGACTACTGTACTGTGCTCTGACTTTTGGTAGCTGTATATTGTATAACAGGTGAACTTTACAAATCAAATGTGGAAAAAAAAGTATCCATGAACGGCAGATTTTGGTGTAACTTGAGAAAACCCAGTTCTCTGTGGAGTTCCACAGCTCAGACGCACGTCAGAACCACCGTTCAAAGTTCAAACAGGTCACAGAAAGTTGAACTTCACAGGACTGAACTGGTAATTTTAATTATTTTACAGAGATTTGATTTTACTGCAGAATGTTCAAGTTAAGATGTAAGGATGGCATGCTGGCTTTTAACCATCAAATGTTTTTAAACTAATTGCAAGAGGAATAAAAAAAAAAATACTATTTTATTCCCACTATCTTTTTTGTAAATTCACAAATGATGCATAAAAAAATAGAGATTTTTGTCTTCTTTTACCCAATGATGTAACTCTCACTGCTATAGGAATGTTTTCCATGATGTTCCCAGGAGTGCAGAGTGCACACACCCAAACGTTCATCAACTTCCACTGAACCGGAGCTCAGTTTTCTCTGTTAAACTGGAGCTAAACTGTCTTTTTAACTTAACCTCTCTCATAAAAGACTTTAAATAATAAAAATGAACATCTTTCTAATAACCATGGCAACCAGTGACTCAGCAGATTGTCTTTGATTTTACCCATCAGGCTTCTCTTTGATATTTTTCTGTTATGACTGATCCACAGATACTGTTCAGTTTCAGGTTTTATTTTATCTTTACAAATTCTGAACGGCGTTGGCGAGGGAGTCACAAAGTGCTCCGAATGTGCACACGAGTTCTAACCTTCCTTGCACGAGTCACTGGGCCTCACTCTGATGGACAGGAAATTTGAATATGTTGGAAAGTATTGTGTGAAACGTTTTCCTCAACACATTCAGAGTCTTTACAGAAGATGTCTGGAACATGTCCGGTTCCACTTTCATAGCTATAAAAAAAAACAAAAAACTTTTTTTTATTGTTTATAGGCAGTGGTGATTTGAGCCTCTTTTTGGAGGGTGCTCAAACACCCTTAAATTTAAACTCATCACCCCTGAAAAATAAAGAATCCATCTTTAGGATTTTGTAAGAAAGCTCAGTTCTCAAACCTTAGATTCACCAAAATATTGAAGAAATATGGAATAAATGATGACACTCTTAAACAGGCCAGTTTAATCTGATGTTTTTTTGCTCGAGTTGGATCCTCAATGCCACCTATCAATCAATTCAGTATCAGCAACCTCAATTTGTCCTAAAGTGAAAAGCCCCTTACCTGTAGAAGTTGTGTGTGTGTGTGTGTGGG